TTATTATATTGATGAGAGTTGAATTAAATTAAATATGGGTTAAATTTTGAGTTGAATGAATGTTTAACTATTAGCCAATAGGGGTTATATTTTTTGAGCTAATGATGCTCCCAGTTTGATTCAAAAGGGACTGGCGCATGCAGGTCCAACACATGCATAGGGAATCTAATTTTGCGGCCACTTTACGGCAAGTTTGGCGTTTTCCTCTTCGTTAGGTTTGCAACGAGTATCGTCGCCCCCCACAGGCGTGGGTACTTAGCTTGACCATAATATTATTGGGGTATCTCATCCCCGACGACCCAAAAAATTAAAAAAAAAAAATACAAAAAAATAGGGGTTATATTTTAATTTTGTATCTCATTAGGTTTTTGTTTTAGATCTATGTGGTATCCCATATTCTTTTATACACCCCACAAGTTATAAGATTATGATGACATGATTAATGGATGTTTGCCAAAAAATATTTTCGAAAACTCAAATCTTCACAGACCACGCAATCCGTTCTGCAGAGCTGTAAAACTCGTGTTTTATCACCGTCTCTTTTCTTCTTTTTAAGTGGCACATTTCAAAGACAACCAAAATGCAGGTAAACAAAAACTTTTTTGCATGATTTTCGCACATCCATCATGTCTATACCAAATAAATTATTAAAAAAAATCTATCCTCAAAGCTATGCTTCACTACTATTATAAAACCAAATGCCTGTACACACACAATGATTGGTAAAGATCATGAAGACCACAAGCCTAAATAGCATGTGAAGTTAAGCTCTCGGGTATCGAGAGCGTCCCTTTTTCCTCAAGAACTCGGGAATTTCAACAGAAGTGCCTTCCAAAAAGGATGAGGGCCGCCTATTGAGCCCAGTGCTCGTATCTCCTTGTCCCAGCTGATTTGCCTGAATCATTTTTCAACACGATGAGTGCTCGATGAATTTATATTATTATGGAGCTAAGGAATAAAGAGTTATGTCATGTAGTGAAAGAAAATGCACCTGGAGGGCTCTACTGTCATTTTCTTCTTGACGTTTAAAACCAGTCGCGATGAGAGTTATGCTGACCTGAAATAATTAGAGAAAAAATGGTCCCGAATTTTAAGAAGTTAACAATTTTGAAGCGCAAACCTTGAAGTTAGAGTGTGTTTGGTAAGCACCATAAGCTAGCAAGCTTATATTTTCTTTGGTTAAATTATAAGTTTCCTGTATTGAGATAAGTCTGAGGACGAGCTTCTTTAAAAAAGCTTAGATAGTTTTTCAAATAAGTTCGTAGATATTCTTATTTCAACTAGCCTATTTTATCAAACATTTTTATCATATGAGCTAGTTTTTCAGCCATAAGTTATCAACTATCCACTCAAATTCACTTATAAGCTATCATCTATGTTTACCAAACACAGCCTTAATGATTTCCCTAATATGTTACCTCAATTAACTATAGGGACCTAATTGAGTAAGGAAAGAAATTAAGGGGGCTAAAGCTTGATGCAGCGGATACTGCTGTAATTTGGACGGAAATCAATTGCCTGTTCCTTTGTACAAAGAGATAATTTAATTGAAAAGTTTGTTCAGTAGGCGTAAGTTCCCTGACCTTTTCGGTTGTGAAAATGCATCTAAGTTTAAAAGTTCATACAAAAATCTTTTCGCTAGCTACATATCTAATGGAAAAGTTAATCAGAAACCACATAAAGCTTAGCCTTAGCAGTGTAGAGTTTGTTTTCCTTTTGGTGCCTGTTTTTGACTTTGAATGGCCTGTTCAAAAGGCTATATCTAGAAAATAACAAAAATCAAAATCAGGCAATCGATAAAATAAGATGAAACTCGATTCAAGCCCACCCTAGTATTCTTTTAATCCAGACTAATTCTCATCCCCGGAATCTGGTCACAAATCACAATAAAAGGCTGATAGAGTTTCGAAAATTTCTTGAAAAGATGAACTTACTTGACCACTTAATGATGGATCTACCACAGCACCAAATATTAAGTTGGCAGTTGGGTCCACTAGATCATATATGACCTCTGCTGCAGCATTAACCTGTGATTTCACATAAAAACAAATGTTGAGAAGTTAACCTAATTATGAAGCATCTTTGATTATATGCAAATATAACCAGTTAAAGAATTTTTCCCCCATAAAGATACATAAACGAGGAAACACACAGATTTAACTAAAACCAGAAATAAAACAGCATGTTCCTTGATGAATCAGAGAAGGGTTCGCTTATTGAGCGAGACTCGTTTTGATTTTTTATTTTAAATTCCAAATATACAGAAATTTATCTCGTGTGTTAAGAACATCAAAAAGGAGGAAACTTATACCCATACCACAAGTATCATAAGAAAGCGGGAAAAAA